TGTCCATGTCCATGTCCATGTCCGGTTGCCGAAATGGGATTTTGCCCAGGGGAGTACCTCCTCCAAAACGCCTTTTAAGTAGATCTTGCTATTCACCTTGACCCCTTTCTCCAAGAACATCAGGGGCATCTTGCCGTCCGATGTGATTGCCCCAAAAACCATCAACGACTTGGGGTGTCTAGATCGCTGAGCAATCCCTCCATGTTGGCTGGCTTCTGCAGGGCTTCCCGCTATCATATCGTTTTGGGTGTTCAGGAATTGATCTGTTGAAAACAGACATTCGTCAGTGAAAAGGATGTTGCTGTGCCGTGCCTGCGAAAATCGCTTTAAAAGCTCCTTACATCTTTCGAGCCTAGTTTTCTTCATACGCTCAGTTAGCATGTGAGCTTTTCTGATCTTATAAGAGCGAAGTCGAAGGTGGCTGGTGACAATCCTTCCAACAGATCGAGCAGAAATACCCACCTCAAGAGCCATTTTTCTCTCGGACCTACGAGGGTGGCGGCGGATTTTCTCTCGAATGATTTTCACGATCTCCTTTGTCGTTGCACTCTTCGGTCTTCCACTTCTAGGCTTGTCCTCCATAGTTCCTGTCGCCTTGTACCTGTTGACGTTGTTGTACACGGTTCTTAAGGGAATCTGGAGCTGCTTGGAGATGGTCTTTGCAGTGCATCCAGCCAGATGGAGGTGCAGGATGGAGGCTCGTTGGTCTTTGCTTGTCACCATTCTGTAAAATGGCATATTTAAGAACGGCCAATTCATGGAATGTATAGAAGAAGACTTGCAGTGGCACAGATCCTGTCGAGATCGAAGGCCTCATTTCTTATGGAGGACCTGAAACGGGATTTTGCCAGATCTTTTGCCGCACCCTGTATTATATACACATCCTCTGCTTATGATACAGCCACCTAGAAACTGTTCAAGAATCTCGAATTCACAAAGTTTCTGGAAAAATGTCCAACAGGAAAACTGTGTCAAATTTGGTCGCGAATTCGAAAATCAACACAAAATTCCAGGTTGAAAATGCGAAAAAATTTTATTCCTAATTTTTCCAAAAGGGTCGCTTTTCCTCGTCTCCAAATGATACAGCCACCCCGTGTTTCTTCGTTGCATTTCATTTCTGCTCGATGAAACTGATTGGCAGTCTCAATTTTTTTTTTAGGTTATCAGGAAAGAAAACCAATGTTGTAGAAAAGAGGCGAATCGTTGCAAAAAAGAAGAACTAAGCGTCAGGTGGTTACATTGCGCGAGAATTTAGTCGAAGCTTCGCAATGATTAGCACTTTATTTTTGACTTCTGTAGGAAGAGGATCTGAAAAAGGACCTCCCATCCTTTTCTGTGATCCGCCACTACCTGTGCTCCGCCATCAGCAGCAGCGCCCTTCGATTATCATTTTGATGAGGAATTCCGTCTTGAGTGCGTATCCTATAACATTTCCATGGAACGCGTTACCAATCAAAGCATGGCCTTTGCTGATGGTGGCTATCGGTTTAACATGTGCAAAAGACCTCTTATTCGGTTGCTAGCTCGTCCATTATCGGAGGTCAACGGGCAAAGAAAGGGTCCCATTTTGCGCGTTTTGACGGATTTCTTTGCTTTTTTCGCCACTGGGGCATTATTCAGCATCTCCACTTCCACCATGAACCCAGTCCAATCTTATCGTAATCACTCGTTTTAATCTACACAATCGCCGCCTTTAATCTCTCTTCGGATAGGGTATCTACTAAAAAACATCTAAAATCGTTCTATAGCGGAAATTAGAGAAAAAAAAGTGTTCCTGAAAAAAACCCTTGGGAAAACCAGGTTTTTTTTGCAAATAAAATCTGACCAGGCCACGCTCCGGCTATCTTGACTAGTCTTTTCTAGCCAAAGAGACTCAGTTTCCGCGACGATTTCGTTTTGAAAACACTATCTTTCACTTCCTGCTAAAAATCGATCTTGGAAGTTAAAGGAAGCGGTCACGATAATTCTCATAGGGACGATAAGGAAAGCTGTGTACTGGAGTGGATAGGGGTCCTGCCCAATGTTAGAACACGTGAAGTTTCAGTGGCAGTGGCGCCTTATCAACGGAGTGATAAGGCGCCGAAATCCACTTCCGTTCAGCAAAAACCAAGACTTATCGATGTGGAAAGGGGTGCGATAAGAGCGTGCTAGATATGATACCGTTATCGTTATCGTCCCGTTTTCATTCTGGAGTGCACCTCCTATCAAGCAGCCGCACCTTCTTATCTCATCGTATCATATCTTCCATGGGCTTACACTCGTCCAACAATTACTGCCTCACACCTTATCGATTGATAACGCGAGGGTAGCAAATCCAGCGTGCGTGACCGCTTCCTTTAATCAGTATATACCAAATACTATCCAGTGAAAGACTAATTTTCAAAAAACTCAACTTTCGATACGTCTTCTTGGAATTAGGTGCTGTTCTCATAATGTATTTTTTGTATCTTATTATTTTTTGTTCTAATCAAGAAGCAATTAATTACGTCCGAAGCCCTTTTTAGATCCATTTCCTACAGGAATCAAAAATGAATTGTTAATCATTCCTGAAGCATCGACCAAATTCTCGCGCAATGTAACCACCTGGCGCTTAAAACTCTCTTTTGTGAAGATTTGCCTGCGAAGTCCAATAGTTGCTTTCCTTTCCTGATAACCTGATAAAAAAGACCTTAAAAATGATGACTGCCAATCAGTTTCATCGAGCAGAAATGAAATGCAACGAAGAAACACGGGGTGGCTGTATCATTTGGAGACATGGAAAAGCGACCCTTTCTGGAAAAATTGGAATAAAATTTTTTCGCATTTCAACCTGGAATTTTGTGTTGATTTTCGAATTCGCGACCAAATTTGACACAGTTTTCCTGTTGGACATTTTTCCAGAAACTTTGTGGAATTCGAGATTTTGAACAATTTCTAGGTGGCTGTATCATTAGGAGACGCAGTGTTTTTCCCAAATTTAGTGAAATTCAATGGGATTTCCAAGAAATTTCTTAAACATACTCAAAAACCTCTCAACGGTTACTCTACTCCCGAAGCACTGCCGTCAAGAACAACCCTTTTCATTCCACGTCGCTGAATAGTGAATGTGGGCTTTCCAGACTTTTATCAATAACACATTCACGACAGCGCCCTTTTCCCACTTTCGGTCGCGTGGGACGGACGCGATTTTGTGGGCGCCGCCGCCTCACCTCACATCCGCGGATTTTGTACTGTAAATGAACAGAAACACGAGTGTCACAAAATGTTCAATGCAATGTCCAATGTGATTACGAGATTTAAACACCTCTATTTACGTTCCTGGCACCTTGCAAGCGATTATCAACTGGCAGCCCATATCGGCGGCTATCGGCGTGAATGTGAAGGGTCGATCCTCCCTGCCGTCTGAGGGGACAACTACAACAACTACAACGACCATATTGCATAAGCCATTGATCAGTCTATTGAAGAGGGCACAGCGATGAGAGTCGCATCAATGCTCAAATCAACGGGCAAGGAAGGGGTCCCATTTCTCGGGTTCTGGGCCGTTTCTCATGGTTCTTCCTTCTTTCGTGTACCACTCACCATCCCTAGGTTAATTTGAAATGGGTTGCTTTTTCATCGTGAATTCGTCCTTTAATGCATAGTGCTATGTGCTAGCTGTGCTAGCGATTTTTAGAAATATTCGGCACAATAATGTTCCAAGCTTTCTGGAAACTCTACAAAGCATATGTTGTTCCCATACTGAATATGGTTCACAGATATGGAGCCCTCACATTAAGAAACTTCAAGCTAAAATTGAAAAGGTTCAACAGACTTCCACTGGAATTTTGATGTACAAGTCCTAGGTAAACCCTACCCATCCACAAGCTTCACCTAATTACCAAAGACTGACAGTCTTAACTCACTGCTGTACACGGGAGTATTCAGTGATTTTTATCCTGTTTTGAGCAGAGGTCGCATTACTTATCACTACAATGTCCTGGATTGTACAGAAAGCGGCAGGTTAAGGTTTCTAACTCGGTATGTTTTCGCGGAACGAGATGGCTCCAATTATTACCGAGTCGGCTTGCAAATGGCGCAAAAAACCCGCGTTCAAAAGGAAATTAGAGAGCATTGACTTACTTGCCTTATTAGGCATCAACGATTTTGAATAAATGGTGTCTGAGAGCTTCCCGTATGTATGCAAAATATTGCCTACTTGAGTTTATTTGAAATCAGTGTTCCTGATTTGAGCTTGGATTCTGATAAATTGTTGATCACACCTATGAGTGCGTAGATAAATAAACAATTAAATAGCTGGCGGCTTCAGAGAGTTGGATGAACGAAAAACACCGTGGCCATCAATCTACGCTTGTGCTTTCATGCTTTGCCTGACTGGGGTTCAAATGAGCATCTACTTCATGTCTACATGGCAGTATCTCAGTGAGGTGGGTGTACAAAATAACTCCATTGATGTCATCGTTTTTACGAGATTTTTTTCTGAAAAATTGACCTTATAGACTCAGCTTAGGTGGACTCCACAGCGACCATGGACTTCTTCGGATGGGTGACGGCAGCATGCAGTTTAGGATGTGCTCTGGTGAGCGATCAGCATTGAGTCAGTCATTGCAAGGTTTTCAGAATATGCAATGGCTCTGATACTATGAGCTGCGATGTCGCTAAAGTCAAACATTCTAAACATAGCCTCGTCTGAGCTAGAATTTTGTAAATCTGTTTATGTCAAATGTTAAAATTTTGGTTACGTGAACAGGGGTGTCCATGGGCAAGTATTTCAGGCTAATCCTCTGTTTGGACTGTGGAATCAGCGCAGTGGTTCAACCAAAAACCCCGTCTCGTTCGGATTCACAATCTGCGCCTTAGGTAGGACTATTCATTATCTTAAGAGATCCATAAAGAGGTGAAAGTTGTTCAAGAAATATCGTTAAAAAATGAAGCGATAACTATGATGGTAACAAATCTTAGGCTAAAATTTTTTGTTATCGTCCTTCTACAGCCCTGAATCCTAAACGTCCTCCAAATCTTAACACGTTGACGACACGCGCGTTTTGGGTTTTTGCACCGCGTGGGACCACGGCGATTTTGCAGGCGCCGCCGCCTCACATAAAATCCGTGAATTTTGAGCTTTAATACGCAAAACTCGGATGCAACAAAATGTTTCGAATGATATTCGATGTGTCAAACTCAGAAGGAACAACTGTAAAAATCGATCGAATTGACGTTTTCTGGCGATGAAAGGCAAGTTTCAGTTGCTTTTGCTGTAGTGAACCTCAAAATTATTTTTGACGCGGTTGCTCCACTAAAAACATATATCTTGCTATATGTGTGGGTCTGTACTTACTTCTACTACTCTTTTTTATGACCAAGATTGTCAGAATATAAAGAAAACTAGGAATGAACACAATTGGGAAATTCGTAGGACTTAGAAAACCTTCGCTAAAAAGGAGCATATTCAACCATTCGATGAACCTCGCCGTGTCTAGTCATATTATGGTGTGGTCTATAGAATAGATGCAAAAAATTAGAAAAGAAGTAGCGCATGCGCGAAAAAAATAAATAATTTGTCCCACACGGTCCTCAAGTGTGATGCGCATGCGCTGCACAATGTCGTCAACGTGTTAAAGAAGTTGCCCTACACTCTTCGCCTATATTACAACAATATTTGAACGATTAAAAAAGTGGAAAATGGCATAAACAGCTGCTGCTAAGTACAACCAAATGTGTACTCTTTTTAAGCTTTCAGGCTTC